TTTGCTGTATGCCATTATAATTCTCTTTTCCAGAAAAAAGTATAGGTAATAGATGGATTATGTTTCTTCTTTAAGAAGGTATATGTAGTTCTATAACAGTCCTACCCCTCTTATCCATGCCAACCTAGTTCTCATGCCACCACTTGCATCTTTCCTTGCTGTGCTATATCTTCTTCCTAATACTCAGTATGAAGCATCGCTCATTTACCTCTTGAAAGTCATGTAAGGGCTTCGTTGATTCTAACTCAAAGAAGTGGGGTGCATAAATTGCTAATGGCAGTTCCTGAAATTTTGAGTCATAAAAGTTTCTTTTCTCCCACCTTGAATTCATGCACATTTAAGAATGGAAAAGTGAAAACAATAATATTGTTATTCCTCTCCTTTTTGCTGGTTCCTGACCTGTAAACATGCATTATGTATTTCTGAGCATATCTATTGTGTTTAATTGCAGTGGTATAGTGATCCCTCAAAAGAACTCAAATTCAACTCTAAGACAGACGTTCTTCGCTATCTCAGCAGTGTTGGCAGTAATTGTTCTAAGAGTTCTAATACGAAGGAGATGGAGAAGAAAGACACTGGAAAGGTCTCATTGGTTAATACATATTTTCTACCATGATAGTGCAACCTTCTTTTCCCCCTTCTGTAGGGGAAACCTCCGTTATATGGAAGTTATCTCTCTTCTATTTTTTGCCCCCTTACAGTTCTCTTTTTTTCAACGATGCAGTTTTCAACTGGGAAGGCTGCATCAGAAGGGTTACCACCAGGATGGATTAAGGAAATGAGGGTCAGGAGAAAGGGGCACAAAATCAGGAAAGATCCGGTACTAACTCCCTCGTTATTTTCATATTTCTGCATCTACCAGCTTAGCAATTACATTCAAATGTACTCCTTGGCTTATATCTTTCAATTACATTCTACTTGGAGTATGTGCTTATGTAATTACTGAATTACCTTTGCAGTATTATATTGACCCCGTCAGTGGACAAACTTTCCGCTCTATGAAGGAAGTTTCTCGGTTCCTTGAAACTAGAGAGTCAGGAAGAATTGAATCCAAGCCGGGGGATCAATGTCCTGGCACTTCAGAACTGGGAGAACCTTTTTCAACTGTAAGTGTGAATGCTTTTCACATGTTAGTTCTCATTTACTGGTATTATCCTTTACTGTGGTAGTTAAAAAAATCCTATGTTTCCATAAGCTAGTTAGATTCCAAGACCTCCTGTTTAAAATGATTTATAGACATAATTAGTAATTTTCTGAATTAATGTGGTGTCAAAGAAAATTAAATTTTATGATGAAATTACACCTCAAATTACTGGAATTTAGATAAGTAGTACATTAGAGATCATGATATCTATGTTAGTGCAAGTGTGCATACTTGTACTTTTTCACTGACTTGGCCTTAGAAAAGAAGGTAAAGTTCATATCCTACAAGCTTATTAGACATCTGTAAACTAACTGTTTACACCTCGCTCTAGGAATCTTTGTGAGGTTGTGGATATTAGCTGATCTAATTTTGAGAGGAGAAAGCTCCAAAAAAAAAAATTCTTTCTGTTGTCTTTTTGTCATTCTAAACGTTTTTTGGTGATTTGATATGTAACATCTTCTGGTCTCCATTTTGTTTGTATAAATAGTGGAGGAGGTCAGACTCTTAATACAGTGAATTTCTTCATCAAATTATTAAACCTCACAACCTCATTTTCTTATTATAATCACTTGAAACTGTTGATCATATTCCCATTGCAAAAAGGGCACACTCCCCACACATAAAACTAGTGAGCAAGACTTCAAATTCTCCATGGTAATTCTTCACGATCTAATCTTTTTGTTTGTTTCTGGTATTTAGTTGACTGCTGAAGCTGACAAGCAGATATCGCTAGACAGTGATGCATCTGGCAAGGAAGTTGATTCGAGTCGGAAGCTGAAGTTGGGTGCTGAACATATGGTGCATTCCAGTTGTGTAGAAGGCAGTGTATCATCCTTTGAAGGTATTACTCAGAATTGACAAGTTCTAAAATTTCAGTTTGACACGAAGTATTTAATGCTTTATGTATGTTCTAAAGTCATCTAGTTATTATAAGTTTCCTTCCATTCCTCTGGTATAAATTTCGTTGTGAATTCAAGAATTAATTTACTGCTGAAATTCTTGGGGAAAAAGATTTTAATATGATGGACTTTGATACTGCAGCCTCTAGATGGGTCAAGAAATATCATTTAATGTCATCAAAATTCAAATACATGCACTCATTTAATGATTTTTTTTTTTTTTATCATATGCATGTCAAGTGTTTTTTAGTAATTTATCGAAGCGAGTGGTTTTAATTTGGAAGTGAGAAATATTGCAGGTTTAGGAGGTGCTGTACCAGAGAATGCGGAAGAGGAGGATGATGGTAAAGTTGTTTCAGATCCTGTTAGTGGAGAAAATCAAGAAAAGCCATCACAAGATGGAGTGGAAAAGCATGACCAGAAAGCAATCCAGCGTAAACGAAAAAAGGGTGTGAACTTGCCTCACAGAAAATCAAAACGGCTTGCTGGTATTAAAGCTGATACATCTCTTCAGCTCCGAACAAATAATCAAGCCCATCTAGCCACAGTAAGACAGGGGGAAGAGACACAAGCTGCCACCACTAATAACCCTGTGAATTTTATTGATACCAGTAAGCGTGTTGCTACTGCAATAACTGGTACTACCATCAGCGAGAAGGCAGAGATTGGGAGTGTGACCAGCAAAAGGCAACAAGACGCTGTTACTTTGCCGCTAAAGGAGCGAGAACTACCTTCTCCAGCTGAACCTGCAAAAACAAACCTTGCTAGCTGCAAAGGTGATAAGAAAGGTGAAACAGCTCTCGAGTCATCTTTAAGTGACATTTGGACGGATCCATGCATAGAATTTGCAATAAAAACTCTAACCGGCACTATTCCAGTCATAAATGAGAAGAAAGCGGATGAAATCCGAGGTTCTTGTCCGAGTATGCCTTCTGTTAATACTCTGTCCTCTGTGGGTTTACCTTCTGATGAAATATGGGCAGATCCTTGCTTTATGTTTGCAGTCAAGACTCTTACTGGCGAAATACCAATAGGGGACGAATTATGCTCTCAGAATATAGTACAGCAGCAATTCACTCCATCACAGTTCCAAGGAAATAATGGCTTAGTATTACCAAATATCAGATTTGAAGAGTTTGGCAAGGCCAATCTTTCTCATTTGGGGGCACCTGAAAAGGCATTGTACAATCAACAGCCTGCAGTAGCAGCCCCTAATGCATATCAAAATTGTTGGTTTACAAAATTTGGTACTCGTCGGCCTTCACCACTTTGCTGAAATAGACTATTGTAGATCCTAACTTAGTTTAGGAAGTTCAACCTAGCTTGTAGTAGTGTTGTAATTTGTAACACAGTGCCTAAGTTAGCATCAGGGTCTTGCACTATGAACTCAAATTTTGAAGGCAGCTAGAGCTGCAGTAAAAACTATGATGTAAAAACATTATTCAGGGACTGCCTGTTTCCTGTGTTTTTTTCTTATTAGGAACCCTTGTCGCTAGTTTGAGCAGCTCTTTCGGTCTGTACTAAAAGTTTAAAGTCTATTGATTAATTTATCTTTGAAACCTATATCTAAATTATTACTTACTCCATCTTTCAACATAAAAGGTACCATAGGTAAGTGAAGGTCAAAGGCAAAGATGGGGAATTTTCCAATTTTTATGTAACCTCTAAGTTTAACTTCTAGTCGCTTTAACAATAATAATTATTGCTACTAACTCCATACTTCAACATTATAAAAATACCAAACGGCAAGTGAAGGTCACAGGCAAATATGGGAATTTTCCAATTTTTATGTAATCTCTAAGGGGTCGTTTGGTTGGAAATAAGTTATTTCGGGATTAGTTATTCCATCCTCCCATAGGGATAAAAAAATATTATAATTCTGGGATTAGTTATCCCGCAATTTTATCCCAACCAAATATGGGATAAAGTCATCTCAAATTTAAATTTGGGATTAATTATCCCTTATTCCTCGTACCAAACGAGCCTTAAGAGGGTGTTTGGATTGGCTTTTTAAGCTGGTCAAAACAACATTTAAGTTCTTTTTAGCTTTTTTTTCACTGTTTGGAAAAGTTAAAAAGTGCCTAAAATGAGTTAAAAATTGCTAAAATAAGCCAAAAGCAATAAGCCAAAAGTTGCTTTTTGGCTTAGAAGTTATTTCTGCCGAAAAGCCACTTTTTTAAGCTAATGCAAATGGGGCTCTAAGTTTAACTTCAAGTCATTTTAAAAAAATTTAAAAGTAATTATTGTATAAGGTAAAATATGCTATCCCAGGTGGCCGCTTAAAAGAATGACACGTGGAACCGAGGGCAATTATTTCGTTTGGCACCGTGGGGAATGAGACTCATAAGGAGACAATAAATACCTTCCGCTCGGTGACATTAATGAAGAATATTCAATAGCATTAAGTGCACTGCCCATTATGAGGAATTTATCATTTATCATTTATGTTCACCGTTACATCTTCATCAATGGCCCTCATAATTGACATTAAAGAAAGGCATGATCCTAAGACCTTGTTCCCTAGACGTAGCTATAAATAGTGAACTTTGTTATCATTGTAAGGACATAAATTTTCTGGCAAACTGATACTACAATTTACTCAAAGCTCTATACAATTTTATCTTCTTATTTTATTGTTCTTATTACTACTGCGTCCGGAGGCTTCGCTACCAGAATCTTTATTTTTGTCATTTCGTCTTCATATCAAGGCTAAATGTTATATATTTCTTCAAATATACTATTATTGCAGGATCAAATTAATTCACTTGTCTAGAAATCACATATAAATTCAATTATACCGTTTTATGTGTAAAGAATTATACGTAATTTTGCCAAAAAGGTAATTACTCGTAAGACATGGAATAGCAATTAACTTTTTTTAGCATGTTGAATTGAAATTGATTGTCTAAAAAATCATTTTTACGTGTCTTAGCTATAAGTTAAGTCCAAACTTATCCATCGGCTCGCCTTGTTTATTCTTTCTTTTGCAAATATCCTTCAGCGGATTTATTTTCTTTTGTTCGTTCAAGTCCATTAATCCACTTTGCCTGGGCCATCTTTCTGCGGCAGGCTCCTTCCCGTCTCTTTCTCCGGCGACATCGGAACTGTATGTTTTCCTCTTTCCCTCTCCTTTACTCTTCCTCCAGAATCTCTCGTACGCATTCTTTCGCAGGAAAAAGAAAACCTAATCCAGAAGTGTAAATTTGGTTGCAATTTGTTGTATCTGTTCTACTGCATGAAGAAAATCCTTGTCTGCGATCTTTTTCTTTTCATTTATGAGTTAATCTGCGTTTTACCAAAAATTATGATGGTTATTTTGCCTTCTAGTATTAATGATCAATTTTTTCTGAAAAATTTTCGGAAAAAAGGCTAAGAGAAAATATGTCATGATAATTTCCTCTTCTTAGGTTAGACTCATATATCCTAAATCATTTACTGAAACCCTCCTAATTAGTCAACAAGTGAATGATTAATATGAGTTTATGATTATCTCATATCTTAGCTTGTTCGTGTATAATATAATGGTGCTTGGCATCCCTACACCTTCCAAATGAAAAATACATAGTAAAAACTATATCTGTTATCTATTAAACAACTAGCAATTTGTGCCCCGGGGCTTTAGTCTAGTGGTAAGAGCGCAACACGTGATGTGTGGGTTTGGCGCGCGTCGCGCGTTCGAACCATGCTATAAAAAAAGCTTGGTATTATTTATCCATCGAATTTCGAACCATGTGCAATGGTCCTCGGGGAATTTCTTGGTTATAAAAAATCCCGAGCAATTTGTGACCAAAGAATGTGTGGGGGAAGGGGGAGGGGGGAGGGGGAGTGGAAATGAATAGTAAATGTTGGTAGATAAGTAGAACATTCTCAAAGGTCATTTTCGAACCAGCAACTTGTTATTTAGGCCATTTGCGACATTATCTGATATGAATTCCTTGTTTTTTTAATGCAGATGTTTGACGAGTGTTTCTCTCTTTTGTTGGTTCAGGTAATCAGTTTGACTGCAACTGCTTGAAGGATTGGGTCACCTTGGGAAAATGAAGTAATGTCTTTTCTTGTTCTGCAAATTCTATTTCCCATACATCTTGCGCTCACTTAAAACTCAAATTGAGGTGCTAATGATGTCATGATGAAGAAAGAAATAATGTACATATATTACTTTTCTATAAGTAGCTTGCAGTAGACTGAATGTGCTGTTTGGCCTCAAAGCCTTTGTGTTCATGCTTGTTCCTGTAGAGGGAATTATTGCAAGCACTTTTATTTTTGGGGTATGCGGTGATGCTAAATGTTGTGTTTGCATCATGATTTTAGTAGTTGTTTGACCTATTACAACAACAACAACAACAACATACCCAATATTTTTTTCACCTATTCTTTCTAAAAAAGCCGAGCTTATTTGTTTTGCTTGCATTAGTATTGTTAGTAACGGAAATTCAATTGCTTTGAAAATTTTGTGGTGGTGTAGAAGGGGAGCACATGTAAAGTGGGATGAGGCAAACTTGGGAGAAATTGAAGCAAATAAACCAGTGAGGCAGAAAATAACTGAACCAAAGACACCATATCACCACATGATCGATGTTGATGGTATGTTCGTGAAATTAATTCTTCTTTTCCTTCGTGCCCGTTTATCTCACTTGTCAATTTTCTGTGTCATGCAAGCTTCATAGATAGATCAAATAATCTTGTGGCGTGTTGTCTTCCTGCTTTTCACATTCAATCAGTCATTTGAAAAACTTTTGATGCTTGATAGGTATATAGATAGATGAAAAACGATTGGTGGTTGGCCTGGTTTTATGCACTTGCTAGTCTTTTTTTTTCTATCTTTCCCCAGATGATTTATGCACTCACTGATCTTCTTTTTCCCCTTTTTGATTAGCTTCATGAGAGTGATGGTTTTGGGAGGAAATATTTTAAGATTTGAACTTATTTGGATCATCTGGCAGTAGTCTTGGAAATATTATAAAGTTTCTTTGTGTGGTGCTTATACTCTTTGAGTGAATTTTATTCATGCTACTGATGTATCTTGTATCTCTGTTGTTTAATTTGCTTTATTGTTATTTAGGTCAGGGTGATTGTTTATTTTTCTCAAATTCCAAATCCCAAAGTTAATGTGTATTCTTCTCGGTATTTCTACACCTTTGAAGTTTCTCATGTGGCGCTAAACCTTCTATAATCTTTTGTGGGTGAAATATTAGAGCTAATACAATTATGTTTTGGTACTTGGAGCTTCTGGATCTGCTTCTAATAATGGCGTGATGTTTGTTATATGAGAAAAACGTGTTATCCACAAACTGCAAGAATTTCATCAAAATTTGACCTTCCATGAGAGATTTTCATCACTTCATCAAGCACATACACATTCTGTGGTACTTTTTCCTTTATTAGAGACTAATCCTCGATAGTTCACTACAGTTTCTTACCTGCCATTAAGAGAATTATTTGGCACTATAAGGGCCATTTCACAATTGTAATTTCTGTTTGCTTTTTTCCGATCCATTTCTTTTGCATTTGCAAGGGTCTCATATGGTATGACTAGGTAAAAATGATGTAGCTCCTCTATGTAATTGAGTTTACTGTGGTGATAAGTTCTTTTTCCTTCTTTCTTATACAACCAAGATAATGGGTCTATTTCTTTAAAAAGAATATGAAGCTAAATTTCTTGTGCAAAAACATGGGTAGATGAATCTCTTTGTATATATCGAGCCCAACTAGTTTGATATTGAGGCTTAATTTGTGCATTTTGAATGCTTTAGGATTTCTGATCTTGTTGTGCACGGTTGTTTTTGGAATGAGACTCTCGTCCTACTCATAAGATGTTAGATTTGGTCTTGCCATGTTCATGGTGTTAGGTTTCACGATTCTAGGATATGGCCATAGTGGGAGTAGATTCCGACATGTATGTTCCTTGGGGCAGATTTAGGCAGATATTGACTTTTGAAAAGCCATTATCTTAAGTTGCAAACTTATAAAAGCATGAAAGTCCTGTAAAGAAGTAAGTGTTCCTCTTTCCAATTTCTAATAGATTCTACATTAGTATGTTTTCTGCATGGCTAGTCCTCTTTACAGGTCCTGTGTCCACAGGTATTAGACGAGTATGGTTTCAAGGCAGCTTTATTTTTTTAAGTATACTAGTATTAGGGTACGCGCATTGCATGTACTCTATCTCAATGAATATAGAACTTCAAAAATTAATAAATATTATATTAAATTTTTTGTTGGAGTTATTAAATAAATATTAACAAAAGTGTAATTTTTGACTAATGATGACTGTTGATACTATTTAGCTAACTCAATAAAATAAGAAATTCCTCCTTATAAGTCGTTAATCATCTCATTTGAAATAACTGATAAAAGACAGTCTATTTTTCTCACAACCAAAATACAATTGTTCTATTTCCTGAATTAATAAGAAGTACAATAGAAATTAGTTTCAACGGATTAGAAATGAATATTACTATTGCAAATGTATTCGATTCAGCTGCTATGCTTTGATTAATCTATTCTTTCTTCACTTCAAATGGAGCTTTCTTTCTTCATCCAAACGCATAACTATGCATCTGAATATTTCTTTTTATGGAAGTAAGAGCTTAAGATTGTAATGAAATTACTTACTGTTAATAGATTCTAAAAGAACTATGTAAAGCTATGAGCCAAATTATGGAGAAGGAAAACTAATCTTGGCATGAGTTATTTGTTATACCCTAACCTATTCGTAGTATTAGTTACTCACTTGGACTTTGTTATTTGATAACTAATACCCCTTGGACATTTACATGGCGAAGAGCATGGACACACTCTCCTTTAAGAGAGCGAGAGTGAAAAAAATAATAAAAATCAGTTTCTAGATAGGGTATTTCTCGTTTTGTCAAATAGTTATATAGAATTGTTTATATTATTTGTTATATTTCTTGTTTTTTTAGGACGGTATATTTCTTGTTGCTTCATCTTAATATATAGTGCCTTACCCCAAATTCGTATTTTTAAATTTTTATTAGATGTAATGGCTAGTTGGTTCAATTGTGTATTTTTTTCCCGGGGTTAAATTTGTAAAAAACTTAGCTAGAACCCTACCAACTTAGCCAAATCAATTTTTTTAATCTGAAATAATAGAGTACTAATGGTGTATTTCTTGTTATTTTTCCTTATATGCAAATGGCTATTTATTTCAGTTGTGTATTTTCCTTTTTGAGTTATCTGTAAAAAGAAGTTGGCTAGAGCTCCATTATTTTTTTGTCTAATAAAAAATGTATAGCCAAAATAATAGAGTTGCAACCGTATACTTCTTTTTATTTCTTTTTTAGATGCAATGATATTTATTTCTACTATGTATTTTTTCCAAAAATATATGAAAATATACTTGCTTAGAGCTCCATTATTGTTGGTCAAACAATTTTTTTTAAACAAAATAGTAATGAAGTTCAGTCTATGTGTTTTTTAATATTTTTTTAGATGCAATGATTATTTTCAATTGTATATCGTTTTAACCTAATAAAATAGATATATTAATGACTAAGCTCTTAAATGAATACTTATCGATTAAAATTTTAAGAATATCAAATAGTTTCTTTCGAAAGGAAAATAAAGAGGCAAAATCGGCAAGAAGACAAAAATTACAAAATGTTGTATCGTTAGTTTTCATGTAGGAAAAGAAACTTACCTTCTATGTGTTTGTTTTTTTTTATAAATATATTTGCTTCTTTTCAGGAAAAAGATATTTAACATAAATTTTAAATTTTAGTTGATTTAGAACTCCTAATTATTAGGCAATAAAGAAAGATTTAATTACTAACCTTTTACTTGATATTAGTCCTAACTCCTAAATATAAGGAAAATAACTAAATTACAATTTTGTCCATTATAAAATTTATTTTTAAAGGGCAAAAAAGACGAATGACATTTCGCTAAGGGCCTTCGTCCTTTTAATATAGTATAGATCTTGAAGAATCCATATGAAGTTCCTATGCCAGTTTGATACTTCCTCATATGGTTATATTAAAGAAAGCATGAAGATTCCATGTAACGTGGGTGTGGCTAATAGATGATGTTCTTATCAAACAAAAATGTGGCTAATAGATGATGTACCTCAGTGGTCCTGCTTTTTGAAGAACAAATCATTAATTGCGTATTTGGAGAGAAATATTTATATGCCCGTAAACTGATGGTTAATATTGCTTAAATCTCCCTATCAAAAAAGTATTGGTTAAATTTCCTTCTAAAAAAGTGGTATTAGTAAACTATGTGCAAGCTCATTCGACCTCCTCAATTTTTCTGACTTTGTTGATGTTGTAGGATCTTTATCTCCTATACGGGGTAGTTTTGAGGAGGACAATGGTGATGCAGTACATGCAGAAGCTATACGCACTGCATTGAATGAGGTGGCTTCTTCTAGTAAGAATAAATCCCAACGGTCTGGCTGGACGTCATCTGAGGATGAAGCCGATGTTATGGACCAAGATGATGCAGGTTTAATTAGATTTGTCTGTATACAACTCAAATATATATATATATATATATATATATATATATTGCTCCATGTTTCTAACTCTTATTGAGTATCTTCTAGTGGAATTCTTCAGGACTAGTATTTTCACATTTGTTAAATTTGTCATAGGTATATGCTTTTTGACATTCCTTTTGTGTTCCATAAAAAACAACCTTCACTGCTTAGAGAGTATGTTATCATATTGATATCAAGGAGGGAAAAAAGGCATTATGCTATTACATTGTGTATTCAGTTTCTCTGCACCTCCCTTTCCTTGCTTAGTTATTTGGTTATCAACTGCTTGTTAGTCGCTACCTTTTTCTTTTTGATTATTATCAACTTTTTCTTCACTCTTTTTTTTTCCCCTCTCCTTTCTTTTCCTTTTGATTTGAAGAGTGGGGGTTGGATTGGATGAGAGGCAGGGAGAGGAGGTCATTGACTTCTGAGTTTTACCCTTATCCATTTATTAGTTGATCAAGTGAGGACTTTCAATTGATTGATTCCTCCGCACACACCCACACACACCCCTCTTTATGTTGGGTTCCTTTCTTTCCTCAAGTGTATTGTGTACTGGTAGTTTCGTTGCAATTGGTTCATGATTTGTATATTGAATGCAAACCCAATTTAATATTCTTCTGTGATGTAACAGATTCTGGATCAGAAAAGGGAAAGAGCTTCAAGGAGCACAGGCGAGCACACTATGATGAATATAGGAGAGTCAAAGAACTCAGTCGAAAGGGCTCCTTTCTTGAAGAAGCATCAGACGGTGAGGATGAGGATCTTGAGAAAAGGGATGGGAGGTCTGATTTATCATCATCATTGACTACTGCTGTCGAGGACATTGAGATTAAGGAAGGCAGCATGGACACTTCTAAATAGCATTCTTTTCCAGCCCATCGAGCTTGGATCATCCACAAGTACATTGTTGATTTGATCTTACTTCCATGCTCCTTTTGTGTATATCAACTTAACTTCTGTTTGTAACTATGTAAAGGTCTCAACCTTCAAGATGATTTCTGACATATCGAATGGCACATCTCAGTTAGATTTCTGTTTCTGCCATCACTTCTTGGCTTAGATAATATTCTAAAATCCAAATTTTCGTATGCTGCATTTTGTAGTTTTTCTTTATTGAGTTTGTGACTTTTACTTAGGTTTACTTTAGTTTTCTGTGCTAATGTCCTAAAATGTGGACTGTTTTTGGTGTTATTGTGTTTCCAGTTTTTTATACTACCTCCGGCTTCATATTCTTTTAAAGTCTTCGTACGCATCTTCAGAAAGACATTTTATGACCCGGTTGGTCAGAGATTTTGCCAAAATTATATTTGGGATTTTTTTGGCAAATACATGTTTGGCCATAAATTTTATTTACATTTTGGCAAATTCCAAAAATCCAAAACCCAAATCTCAGATTTTGGCCCAAAATATCACTATTATATTTTTTTAAATTGTCCCAAACTTTTGTTTTTTATAAAAGAACCTACCATTTATTATTTTGTAACAATGCTGCTTCATCTTCTCGGTCATCTGATAGTGTATTATGTAGTTCATTATAAAAATGATAATTTTGTACCAAATTTATTTATGTCCAGGACTATGATTTGCGATAATATAATGAAAGTTATTGATAAAGGTTTTTTTGGGTATTTGTGATAGTTTTTAGAACTTGTGGGTATAAGTCATGTTTCATGTTTTTTCAAAAAAAAAAAGTAAAATATGTTTTGAAAACTTATAACACATTTTCATTTTCAAACCAAACTTTACCCAAATCATATTTTTCAAAACAAATTTAAAAATCTATGGCCCAACGCTAGCTTAGTAACATTGTCCAAATAGACTGCTATCTTTTTCTTGAAGGTTCACTTAATTAACATTGGGGTTTTTACATTCCTATGCCATATTGAAAAACTTTATTACCCTAAATGTTCTTGTTTAGTAAATTACCCTACATACACAAGTTTTGTTTATAAAATATATACATGCTACCTTAAAGGCTTTCAATCCATCATTAGTGCCTTCAATTAAGGGATTTAGTTACACCATTTCCCTTTTTTTCCTCCTCCTCTTCTCTTTCCTCTTAAATCGAACACAAAACTGACAACTTTCGACCCCTTATTGAATTGAATTGCAGTAGGCACTGAAAGTCTAATTCTTCTATCTCTAAGACCCCCGTGCAGACTTTACTGTGTCTATCTTTTCCACCAAAAGTACGCGATACACGTACAATTTCTGGATTTTTAAAGCCTCCCCACTGCCTTGAACTTGTTGATGTAGTAGCCTTTGAGGTCAATTTACTGTTGTTGGTTCCACCAGATTCTTGCTTCGCCTGAAAACTGTTTCCACTTGAATTCATGATATTATGTGTCGTTCTTCATCCTCGATCTACAAAAATCAACAACTAGAAAAGAAAAAGAAAAAAGAACTTTAAGCATCAAGTAGAGGATAGAAATGAAATTAAAATTAATGATCTGATCGCAAATTATGCTTCACAAAAAGGAATATAAGGAGATATCCAATCACGAGAACATTATACGTGTACAAATTCTTGTGCAGATTCTAACTTATGTTCGATTTTTATAAATTTCGAGCTGTGAAGATAATTAGGGTTGCTCTTGGTGTTTACAACAAATTGAACCTCCAAAATAACTCTGCTAAACCAAGACTTGCTGAGGATGACCAATATCTAGCCGGAGATAAGAAATTATATTATCTACAACTTACATACATTATTTATACCCAGTTATATACAGCTACAATATCATACAACTTAAACACAATTTTTATACAAATTTTATACAATATGTCTTTTGTATATTTTGTATCTGATTTATACATAGTAAAAATAAATTTCACACAACTAATTATATATTATACAACTTATCTACAACTTTCACACATTAATTCTACCCAGTTAAATACAACTACAATAACATACAACTTAAATACAAATTTTATACAATATGTCTTTTGTATATTTTGTATCTGATTTATACATAGTAAAAACAAATTTCATACAACTAATTATTTATTATACAACTTACCTACAACTTATCTACAATTTTCGTACGTTATTTCTACTCAGTTATATACAACTACAATATAATACCACTTAAATACAATTTTTATACAATATTGTTCAACTTTCATACAATAGTTAAATGAATAAAAGAAAAATAAATAAACAACAGAATACAATTTTTCTACGATTTTTCTACAATTTCTGCAATATAAATGTATGTCATGTCGTCTTCTTCTTCTTCTTCTTCTTCTTCTTCTTCTTCTTCTTCTTCTTCTTCTTCTTCGAGTTTCATTCTGAAATTCAGCCAAAACCAAGTCTAATCTTCACCAAAACCCCTCAAAATTGAGCTATAAACTCCAAACTATTCCCAATTATTTGCAACAACACCCAATCCAAACAAATAATGATTTTTGAAAACCCAAATTCGAATTTAAAGCTTTAGAGCTTTTTAATGGTTGTCAATGGTGGAATTGATGCTCTCTTTTCCTTTGCTTTATATTACTGAAATTTGGGATTGAGAGATAGAGAGAGACGTAGAGAGAATTCTCAATTCTTTGCAACAACATCCAATCCAAAAAAATAATGTCTTTTGAAAACCCAAATTCGAATTCAAAGCTTCAAAGCTTTTTAATGGTTGTCAATGGTAGAGGGGTTACAGATTTTCGCTGGTTTTAGAAGAGGAAATAGTGGGTGATTGAAGAGGAAATCATGGGGTGTGATTTGATACGTGGGTGAGGGTGTGAGATTTGAAGAGAGAAACTTGGGGGGAGTAGAAAAATACGGTAGAGTTAAATTAGGAGACTAATTAATACCATTAAAATCCCTAAAATATACATAAATGGTAATTAGGTATATAAAAGGTAATTATATTAAAAGTTAAGCATGGATGGTAATATAGTTTACTATATGGCATAGGAATGTAAAATTCCCATTAACATTTCCCCAATTAGAGTAGTAAGATCAATATAAAAAGAGGGTAATAACCGTTTCTTGTTTTTCTAAAATGTAAAATGTTCGGAACAAATTTATTTTGCCAGATTGATAAATAATGTAGTATTGATAACAATGGAGTTCTCAATCGTGTATTAAAGAATCCAGCAATATACTAGCTACTGCAGTAATATTTTCAACTCTACCTTTAATACTCCGAAGACCTAAATAAGATGGTTCAAATAAAAGGTGGAGGTACTATATGTTGAGTGTGTGAATAAAATCTCACATAAAAATTAAAAAAAAAAAATCTATTATTAATGTTGGATACTCTTAATAGTGTGAGAAGATTCAAATAAAAGGGGAGGTACTTTATGTTGGAAGTGTGAATAAAATTTCACATGAAAAGTAGAAAAAAAATCTATTTATAGTGTTGGATACTCTTAGTGGTACGAGACTTTATGGGAAAAATTGGGAGCTTAGCCTAAAAGGGACAATTTTATACTATATTAAAAGTATCATTGGGCTATTTTAACTGGTATTACAACCAATGGTTTGGTGAACGAGTATGGAAATAGCTGTGAAGACGGGTTTAGTTCCTTTTGTGTCTACGGACCGGTTTGCAACCTTATTATACCGTGTTAAGCGTGTTTTTGACCGTTGTAACTTACACTTTATATGGTTTCAACTTAGTAGTCAGTTAAATCTATCCATGTAGTAGTAAAAATCTTGTCTATGGATATAAACAGGCGTAGCCACAAGTTGGGAGCCAAATGGACAATGCGTTAGAGTTGGATATTTCCCTTTGTTGAATAGGTGACTAAACAGTAGAAATTGCAGAGGGAGACGAGAGAGTTGGTAGCAAATGGCCGAATCAAACCCAGCAGAGTCAGCTCTGCTAGCTTCTAAAATATGCAATCAGATAAGCTCTGTCTTCTCCAACACCACCACAAAAACCCCTGCCTTGGAAGTTCTGGTGCAAGAAATCGCAGCCGCTGCTACCCGCAACGGCAAGGTGTTCGTGTACGGTGTGGGCCGTGAAGGGTTAATGCTGAAGGCCCTATCCATGAGGCTTTTCCATCTGGGTTTATCAGCCCACTGCGTCTTCGACATGAACACTCCTCCAATTGGGCCGCCGGACCTCCTAATTGCCTCCGCCGGCCCAGGGGGTTTCTCCACCGTGGATGCAATCTGTGGTGTGGCCAAATCCAACGGTGCTCGTGTGCTGTTGCTGACAGCTCAGCCCGAATCCGGATCTTCTGTGAAGTACGCGAGTGCTGTTGCTCATATTCCGGCTCAGACAATGGCTGATGATAACGCTGGTGACGCGGAGCAGGAAAGGCCGCTGCTTCCGATGGGGAGTTTATATGAAGGAGCCATGTTTGTGCTGTTTGAGATGGTGGTTTTTAAGTTGGCAGATGTTTTGAAGCAGAGTCCTGAAGCTGTGCGAGCACGCCATACCAATCTGGAGTAAGCATAAACGTTGAGGTTAAATATTTAGGAATATTTGGTTTTTGAACTAAGATGGGAAGCATATATCATATGTATGGACTATGGTGTATCCAGTGGCTGAGCTAGGTTGAAGAAAGGGAATTCAATTTGCTTGGTTTATATGTAAGTTGTTCAATTCCCTCGACATGGAGAAAATTCTAGTAAAGTGTGGCAAAGGATGTTTAAACATTGCTACTTTTGAATTCTCTTGCTTAAATTCCCGGCTCGTACCTTCATTATGATGTCTTGTGAGTCCCACTAGTTTAAAGCTAAATCTGGTTAATTAAATTTCCATTTGTGCCCAACACAAAGCAGGACAAGATAAGGAGTAAATTTCCCTCATTTATATCCAGTATTTTATACTACTACCTCATCATTCTTTTTGAGCTTGTGACATTTTGTTCAAATAGGCCCTAAGAAAGGAAAAAGGGAAAAGGAAAGGAATAATTAATGGGGCCGTACACATGGATTTCACCTTATGTTTTATGCTTTTGGGTTGTTGGTTTGAAGTTTGAAATTTGTTTTGGAACTGTTTCATCTATAAACGTAAAGGAAAAAAAGAAAAAACCGACGAGCAAATATCTTGGATAGAGTCTTATTGGATGACTAGAAACTCCAGAAATAATATCCATTTTGACATCATAATCTCCCGGTCCTTGTTTCACATTATTATAGTTTAGAGGCAATTTACGTGGCACAACAATTGTTCTCATATTTACTATTCGCAGCAAAATATGTATCGCTAGTAGCTTGTATTTTTTGTATTCGTGCGGGCATTTAAGGCTGTATTCATCGTATTCGTTCGTGCAACGAACAGGGGCGGATTTAGGGGGTTCACCCCCTTCGCCGAAAAATTACACGGTATATATAAGGCAAAATCGGGTTTTTATCTCTATATATTAAGTTTTGAACCCCCTTAACACAATCCAAAAGTGTAGTTTAGTGGTCAAGGGGGTACAAAATCTTCATAAGGTCACATGTTCAATTCCCACTAGCTACAAAAATTTATTTTGAACCCCCTTCGTGGAGATCCTGCCTCCGCCACTGGCAACGAATATAGCCTGCCTGTATTCGTTCCCGCAACTAAGTATTCATTCGTGCAACGAATACAATCAAAGGTGAAATACAGAAATACATGAATATATATATATATATATATATATATACACGGACACAAACAATGAAAAATTACATTCCATATGTAAACCAAAATACATATATGATCCATACATTGAGGGATACATACAACTTATGAAAGACCGGATACAATCAATACAAATGAGAGAAGGGATATAGGCTAGAAAAATACATTAAATGTGTGAAAATTAGAATGCAATTAGCAAATATCTCAATCATACATTGTATAAAAAAGCACCAAGATCGATAAATAAAGTTAAATACAGTCAAATATAACTACATTCTCAAGCATACACTGGATGATAAAACATCAAAAATAGAATTGTGAAGTTATTACTGCCACAAAGTCATTGTATCAGACTGTATTCAAAATATAATTTTTCACGCCCGAAGTCAACGAGTCATGAAGAGAAGCCATAAACACCAAAATCTAGAATTATACAAGGATACAAACAATGAAAAATACATTGTATACAAGCTGTATTCACTTGTATGATAGAATTTAAGCTGTATCCAAGATAGAATTTTCCATGTCTGAAGACGACTCATATTTGTGACAAGAAGAGGACATTAAATCTCAAATGGAGAAGACGACTCAGATCATTGCGGGGAATTCCAAAGCAAGAGAATCCGCTCGAACATAAATTGATTTGCGATGCCGAAATATTTGGCAGCGATTTGTGAGAGTAACTGTTGGAGAATAACAGAAACATTTAGTTGGGTAATTCAATGGTGATTTTATCATTGTTTGTTTCATTTAAGATTGTATCTCCACTTGGGGAGAGGGGGGCGCATAATTGGTCAATCTGATGTCCTATTAACTTTATAAGAAAATCTAGAGAATTCATATAGATCAGGGATATGGATCGACTGTTCAGAGGAAGTAAAAATGGGGAAATCATAAGCGACGACAGCGGCACTTGCATCATTGACAGACACAGAAGTTGGAGAAGGAATCAAATCTCTTCGAAGAGAGATGAGGGTTGTATCCAAGATAGGGTTAGAAAAATCCTTTTAGGGAGGGTATTTGCTATAAACCCAAAGTGTAGCTAGGAATTATAATTTTAAATTGTATTTATTTATAATAAATATAGTGTGTAAGTTAGTTATGGAGCGTAAATTTTACTTATTGTTATTATCATCTCCCCTAATCGTATTGAGAAAAAAACAACTCTTATATTTTTGGAGAAGACATTCAAATGCAAATGACATGTGAATTCACTAGTATAATATGGGGATAATACAAAATCAATCCCTTCGGGTTGCCTTGCTCTATCACTTGTATCCTCAAATTTTATGAGGCTCCTATAATCCCTTTATATTTTTTAAAGTGTAATAAATATCTCATTTTGAGCTAACGGGAGATCGTTAGCATTTTGCACACAATTATAGCGCGTGAGAAGTAAAATTTGCCCCAAATCTGATTATTTCTACATTTTTTTCCTTTGACTATTTCTTTTTCATTTTGCACCCACTTTCCGGTTATTTCTTCATTTTTATTTTCCTTTCTTCTTCATTTTTCTTTCTTCTTCGTATAGAAGGTCAGACATCCATTAGTCCTTGTTCGAGTTCACTATCAAGTTATTGTTCAATATCCTTGATTATGATAAGGATTGAAGGTAAAGAACAAAAACTTAGTTGCTGAGTTTTGAAGACTGAATACAATTTATTGGAGAAAACCGTGGTACCTATGTTGAAATTGTAATGACCCGATCAATCGTTTTGCTTTCTAGAACCCTGTTCCCCTAATTAAGACTCCCCGTATGTGATTTTACTGTTTCATAACTTGCAGGGATGGTTAGTTTGGGATTTGGAATGGTTCAGGTTGAAATCGGAACACTTGGTTCCTTAAGGTTGGCAAAAAAGGCTAGGTTTGACTTTGGTCAATGTTTTGAGTAAACGACCTCAGAATCCGAATTTGACGGTTCTAGTAGGTTCGTATATGATTTCGGACTTGGGCATATGTTCGATCGGGTTTTGAATGACGCGGGAATATTTCGTCGCCTAATATTGAAAGTTGGTATTTTGGGGTAAATTTCTTAAGTTTGAGTCTTAGAGGATTTTTGTATTATCGACGTCTGTTTGGGATTCTGAGCCTGGCAATAGTTCCGTATGGTGATTCTGGACTTTGGAGCGCTACCGGATATGGATTTGGAGGTCCGTAGGTAGTTTTGGGCTCATTTGGCAAAAGTTAGAAATTTGAAGTTTTTGAGAAGTTTGATCGGGAGTGGACTTTTTGATATTGGGTTTCGATTCCGATTTCGGAAGTTGGAATAGGTACGAAATATCATTTAAGACTTGCACGCAAAATTTAGCGTCATTCCGAGTGGTTTAAGTATGTTTCGGCGCATTCGGAGTAAGTTTGAAGAACTTGAAGTTCCTAAGTTCATTCAATTTGGTTTGGGTTGTGATTCTTAGTCTTGTTGTTGTTTTATGTGTTCCGAGGGTGCGAGCGAGTCCGTTTTATGATTTCAAACTTGTTTATATTCGGGCGGGGTTCCAGGGGCCCTGGGTGTTAATCGAACGAGGCTCGGACCAAGTTTGGACTTGGGAGCATCAGCTGAACCTTTCAGCTACTGGTGCAATCACACCTGCGGAGGGCCAGCCGCAAGTGCGAGCTCGCAGAAGCGAGCAAGGACCCACAGAAGCGGCCTAGGAAGGGCAGCCCAGGAACCGCAGATGCGCTCCACTATCCGCAGAAGCGGGACCGAAGAAGCGGGATCCCGTCTGCAGAAGCGGAGCCAGCCAGCTTGGGCTAGGACCGCACCTGCTATGGCTTTTCCGCAGGTGCGACCCCAGGTCCGCAGAAGCGGAAATCTCTGGAGGTAGACCCTCATTTAATATGGGACTTAGGCATTTTTGGCTCATTTCTTACACTTGTTGAGGCGATTTTGGAGCTGGTTAGAGAGTGACTTTCACTAGCTAATTGAGGTAAGTAATTTCCATCTAATGTGAGTTAAATACATAGTTCATGGGTAGATTTTAACATGTAAATTAGTGAAAATCATGAGTTTAGATGAAAACATAGGGTTTTGGTAAAAATGGGATTTAACCACGAAAATAATTATGAAATTTAGTGAAAATCATATATTTGAGTTCATAAGGTTATGGGTAACAACTTTCTTCGAAAATTTTCGGAATTTGGGCAAGTGGGCCCGGGTGAATTTTAGGAATTCTTCAATTGGGGTTGGGTAATCACTTTAATAGTTAGGATATGAACTTTTGAACATGTATTGACTATTTTATATAACATTTGACTAGTTTCGAGTCGTTTGGCACAGAACTGAGGGTTTAAAGAACAATTGTGGACCGGAAAGTAAGCTTTGAGACGAGGTAAGTCTTTTTTCTAACCTTGTAAGAGGGAATTTACCCCATAGGTGAATTAAATTAATATGTACTTCTATTTGCGGGGGCTACGTACGCACGAGGTGACGAGAGTCCATGTGTAGCTACTAATTATGCTTATGTCCGAGTAGTTTAGGACCCAAATCATGTTATACTTGCGATGTTTGTACCCTACTTGTTAATTTAAGTGCTTAAATCATATTGAAACTTGATGAAGGAATTGTGGAAGGTCGAATTTCATTTACTTGAGTTTTGGGCAGATTACTTGATCGTCAATAAGAATTCGGTGCTTCTTTGAATATTAACCTCTTAATAACTCTTTGAATCGGTTGTTTATAATGTATCTTCTCTTCTTGTGGAGCGGGCTGAACACCTCGGCAGTAGAATAGATGCATCTATGGTTCGTGCCCTTCGATCCTCGGCATCATACAATTTATATATTTGTGTGTTGGATCGAGCCGTACGACCTCGGCATAATTCGTGCGTAATACTACTTTGAGCCCAATTTTAATTGACATTGTTTCATTGGATTGAGAGGTTACGTTGTTAAATGATGGAAATTTACATGGAAATTATCATCAGTAAAGAATGGTTTGTTTATTTCATGTTATTGAGTTTTACAGTTTCATTATATAGCCCATGTCTATTTAGAATTTCTATTATTTTAATGTTAAACCCATAGTAAGTGTCAGAGTCGACCCCTTGTCACTACTTCTTCGAGGTTAGACTAGATACTTACTGAGTACATGTTGTT